TTTGCCATCATGGCTTTTCTGGGGCTGAGACAGTGTACATGCATCCCTACATGTTTGTGGGCCTGCCTTCCAGTCATTTCCATGATGATAATGATTATTGTTGTTATTACTTGTTCTTGGGCTTTTCTTTGCAAAATCTCCACAGGGGTTTTGCCATGGCTTTTCTGAGGGTTGCCTACCCCTGAGCTAGACAGCCATAACTTTAATGCCCCCCCTCCCCCCGTAATGTCAGCCATGTGAGTGACTCTGCTAGAGACTATGGATAGTCTCTTGGCAACTGACAGACCATTGTTAGCAGCAGCATGCTGAGGCCTTTTTGCATTACTCCATGGCATGATGCTGGATCTGCAGAATGTGAGTGTGACAGCATGATTGACATGATTTGCACATAGCAGTATTGCAGCAGAATATAGAGAGAAAGTGTAAATGTTCATCCTGCAGTGTGATGAGCAAAGCTTGCGCAGAGTAGCAGTGGAGGGTTTGCACACAGTGCAACAGAATATGGACAGTTCAAGGTTTGTGCATAGCTGTATTTAAAGCTCTCTAGAGGCCCAAACAATTGCAGATAAAGGAAAAGGTGGTGACAGTAATGGATACAGTAATGACAGCAATAACAGGAGGAAAATAAAAATGATAGGAATGTATAGCAGTAAAAGAGGCATAAGGATAGGAAATTAGTTCTCTAATAATAACATAGCAAGATGATAGCCAAATAACAACATAGCAAGATAAGCAAGTAAAAGAGGAAAAACATTAAATGAATAGGTGAAAGGAAAGATATGCAAGGAAAAATAAATGAAGAATTGATTGGTAAGGCCATAATGATAGAATGAGAAGCAAAAGTGAAAGAGAATTTAAAAATGATAAAATAGAAGAAATGAATAGGTAGAAAAAAATAATTGAATAATAATTGACCTAAGGATGGAAGGACAAAAGAGAAAATGTTAACAATAACAACAACATATCAAAAATTAATAGTAATGGACAAGAAAAAAACATCATGATGATGATGATGATGATGATGATGATGATGATAACACTAATAATAAGAATAAAATTAATAAAGCAAAAATGTAATATAATAAAGGTTAAGAAAAAAGAAATGATGATGATGATGACGACGACAACGATGATACAAAAATGAATAGTAATGGCCATAACAATATGGTATGAAGAGGGAAAATG